GGGGGGGGTAGTACAGAATTGCTGATTAATGATTAAAGAGGTCATTTATGCAAATTCTTGAAATTGCTGCAGCAGCTGAATAAATAAACGTGTTTAAATGTATCGAGATGTGAAGATAAAGACAGAACTTCAGCGATCCTGCTGGAAATTGTTTGTTGTGCCAGAGTTTCAGTAAAAAAGAAAATAGACCAGGAATCACAAGATATAAAAATAACAGAATATAAAAAGGTTAAAGTGTTTATTGTGGTGCAGGATTAACTTTATGTGTAGAAAGGGGGAGGAGTTGAGAAGTTTGATAGTCACAGGGAGGAAGCTGAACTGGGGGCTGTTAACATGAGCTTCACTTCCATCAGGTTAAATTAGTCTTCCCAGTACAGGAGCAGATCACCAGTTCCAGATAAGCCCAACTAAACGCAACATGTCAGCCGCACACTTCAGATTATTTTTTTTGTTGCTGCCAAAAGCACAGAACACATTTGTGTAGTAAAGTATGTTGATGTATGATGTCACTTCCTGTTTTTGAGCATGGACTTTAAATTACCCACACCTGGAACAATTAAAGGTTCTTCACACAAACATTCTGTGAAGTGGATCAAACTTTACACACAAATGAGACGCAGCCTGAACCAGGTCTTTATGTTGGGCCTCATGCACTCACTAATGTTGCTTTATTTATTTATTAACTTGTTTATTTATGCTCTATTTATTTATTATTACAGTACGTCTACAGCAATGTTTGTTGAGCAGGAACAAAGAATTATGATTCCATGTTGACTGACTGGGTTTGATGCGTCTCATTGTGCAGAGTTGTGCTGTTGGTGGATTAATGTAGCTCTTTTCTAAAACCTCAGAATGATACATATAAAGTTAACGGTTAAAATATAGTGTTAACGGTTAAAATATACAGTTAACGGTTAAAATATAGTGTTAACGGTAAAAATATACAGTTAAAATATACAGTTAACGGTTAAAATATAGTGTTAACGGTTAAAATATAGTGTTAACGGTAAAAATATAAACTTAACGGTTAAAATATAAAGTTAACGGTTAAAATATATAGTTAACGGTTAAAATATATAGTTAACGGTTAAAATATAGTTAACGGTTAAAATATACAGTTAACGGTTAAAATATACAGTTAACGGTTAAAATATACAGTTAACGGTTAAAATATACAGTTAACGGTTAAAATATAGTGTTAACGGTTAAAATATAGTGTTAACGGTTAAAATATACAGTTAACGGTTAAAATATACAGTTAACGGTTAAAATATACAGTTAACGGTTAAAATATACAGTTAACGGTTAAAATATAGTTAATGGTTAAAATATATAGTTAATGGTTAAAATATACAGTTAAT